TGGGTGGGTACAGTGTGTAGGTCCATGCCTTACTGATTTATCTTTGCTCAATTTTAATATTAAGGTTGATTCTGTGCATGCAGGAGGCGATTCCCTTCTGCATAGAGATCTGTGAATAACTACACTACATATTGTGCACAGTTTCTAGCATATTTTCCCCTTGGGGACATTTATAATAGTTACCCACATACATGTAATGCTGAGGTCACATTTCCAAACTAGGGCCCAGACAGGCAGTCTTATGGAACGAAAAGTATGATATAGAAGACAACAAAAACAAAGCAGTTCAAAAGATTAATAATGGGAACATGCAAATAGCATATACTATTAATGTAACTGTTAATTTTTTTGTTAATCGAAACAGCCCGGCCGGGCCCCGGTTTGGAAACTGTGACCTGAGCATAATCCAACCCCCTGGGGAGGGGGGGTTACCTGGAGATGAACTGCTGAAAACATAATTAAAGTATATCGTAATTCACACACATGTGTTTAAACGTGTTGTGGAAAATCGTCGAAACATTTAAGACAACTCTTGTCATTGAAATAACTTGATTCCAACCTCACACTATCTATAATTTTGTCATACGTGGTCAGATGCTGTGGCCCCCCTCCCACATTCGATCGGTCACAACACCGAACTTATACACAAGTATACTTCACCTGGTGCTGTCGTAAAGGTCCTCAATTTGGACCATGATTGATAGTTGCCTTGGCCGTGTGACGCGGTGTGGTCTGGCCGTTCCTAAGGGTTTTTATCTCCTGTGACGAAGAAATATCTCGCAGACATCACATCAATATGGCGCCACGCTCTTTCCTTTAGGTCAAAGGTCATGACATGCGATGGCGGGAAAGTTTAACCCAGTCTCAAACCACCTCGGTGATTTTTTGACCACCTTACTGTTAGTAATGTCCAGTTAACGCTGGCAACCGTGAGTAGAGCCCGACAGCTAAAAGATTGTATTTTTCACAATGCCCAGTTGGCATTACTTTTATTACCACCAGTTCAATGATAAAACAATTTAATTTCCCCGAAAGTTTCACTTTCTCGTGTCGTCCCATTTTTGTATCCGACTACCTTCATGATATTTCATGTTTATAAAAATTTTTATGCTTTGCAAGACCTGTATACGTATGATGGCTGCCATCCAAGCTATTTGTTTCTTTCATTCTGTGTTTCAACTAAAGAGAGTGAAACAGCCTGCCGGCTTACATTGCCTTAGTTTGTAGCAAGTAGAGGACTTCAAGCCCATGCTGTAATCCCCCCCCCCCCCTGAAATCTCCATTTCCTCAGTACATTTATCCCACCCACCCCTTGCGCAGTACACACTGGAACGACACAATCTTCGACAAGACGAAGCAGGTCGTTTAAAGAAAGAAGAAGAACTAGGCCTAGCGCCTGGGCTATTCTTGAAGCCTGTGTGAGGAACGAAGAACTTGATACATCACCAAACAGTGCAGAATTCTGTGAAATTCGGTGCTCTTTGTTATATGCATTATGTGTAGCTGTGTAGCTGGCGAACCCCAGACCTTACTCCTGTTTCCTGTCTGTCTCCCTTTAACTTTAATTAAGGTATACGTAGATCATGTGTTGGTACACAGTCCGCCAAGCCTTAAAGTTTAAGAGTTGGCAGACTGTGTACCACATGATCTACCATTTTCCATTATCTGAGATTCCTTGCTTGCTGTCTGTTTTAACCCTATTATTCACTTTTTGTTAACATTCAGCACAGAAATTACTCAATGGGCACTAGGTCATCTCTCTCTCGCTCTCTCTCTCTCTCCCCCCTCTCTCTCTCTCGTGAAGTTTCATTACACATACGTAGTCATTACACAACCTTGCTTTTGTTTATTAAGGCCATCCCTTACGTTGACTGTTAAGTAGGGACACGAACATTTTCACTGAAAACATACACATGTACATCAATGACAAACAAAGATTCAGGTACTCGGCTTCATAAATTTATTTTCTCTTCACCTTTCTCTGGGTGAATGATATTTTCACATCATCTTTTTCGATTGTTGTGCTCCTCTAAGTTCTTGATAGAACTGGGTCTTTTTTTTTTCGCATCAGATGATGATCGTTAATCAAATAATTGTCTGACGTCAACGTAGAAGACAATCGAGAAAATATTCACGACAAGGCAGCATGCGATGCCTTTGACATTATCAACTGTTCTCATTGGCATTCAGGAAACCTCCGTGACGCCTGATCTGAGGTTAACCACCGTACCGGCGGTGGTGTATGAGCTGACTACATTCTGACAGGCGTCCCTGGACGGACGCCGTTCTTGAAGCAGCTGGCTGGACGCACGTTGACGGGCCAGTAGCACCAGTCGAAGGAGGCGCCAGGCTGCGGAACACAAACAAAAGTAGACACATGTAATTAAATGTTTTAACGTTAGGGCGATGTTATAGCAATGACACAAATAGACATGAAACGACAAACCAAGAAACAGAGGAATATGTCGTACATGGAATCGGTAGAGGTTCAGCAGCCTCCAGAAGGAAGCGTCACTGCTTCGACTCCCCCGGCTGGTCCTCTCCCCCAAAGCTCCGTTGATGTCCTCCCCGCTATCCATGTAGAACGGCCCGCTGTACACATCTTCTCCCTCACTGGCATCGGCAGGCAGGGGCAGGGGGTCACCCGGTCCACCCACCGACTTCGCCTCGGCAGGAAGCATGAGGAGCGCACTCACCAGGAAGATGGCGATCCACTTGTTCATGTCTGTGTCAAAATATAGACAATAGCGCCGCTAAATTACTGCTTTGTTAACATTTTACACTACCATGGACCTGCGATAGGGCGCTAGTGCCAGAGACGGGTTTGGGTCGGTAAGTCCATTTACTTAGTCAAGACATAATTATGACGAGATAATGTTGACAGAATCAGAAAATAAAATTCAAAACATATCTGCGCCATGAACCCATCAAAAGGACTGAATAGCAATTAGATAGCAACAGAAGGCTATGTTGGTAGCTCACAAAGATGTTTTATGTTTGGCTGTTTCTATAGTGTATAGCTGAAATCAGGACGATTCGGACCATTACCAACTTGGTTCATCGCAAATCTGGTCAACTCGGCCATCTCCCTGGTCAACTCGGCGGCCCATCTCCTTTGTCAACTCGGCCTAACCACTAAATCAACACAAAATATAGTAAAAACGCCCACCTTCGATTAATAAACAACAAGCAGTTTTTTGTATGGCTCACATGGAGTGCTTCTTTATTTCCACCTGTATCTGTAGCTCCGCACTTCGACGTAACATATCTGCCCTTACCCATTACCACACTTATACTTGAGGCACAGATATCAACGATTCCCCACAAACACGTGATTCCCTTATCCGGATAGCTACACTTACCCTGCTCTCAAACAGACTCGTTCACTTCGCACTTGCTGAAAACATAGTAGAGCTTTAGCCGGAGAGACGTATAGGATTCACCATAGGAGCCACGTACGCGTCCGATTAGATAGGCGTCAAGTACCGAAGTGAGTTTGGATTAAGTAGCCTCATGCCAGGCCATGTGTCCATGTGTTACGCCTGGCTAGTGACCGACCATAAGGCCATGTTGATTTGATTATATGGATGACATCCTCCGTAAACCCCAAAACGGATGCGAGCGTGCGAATAAAAAAAGTTTGCCAAAATAAGTTGCTTTCATAATGAAATCTACGTGGTCATGGCGGCTGAACAGATGACACAGAGTATGGTATGGTGAATAATCTACTCTTCAAATTCATTTCTTTACATGTTTGTCTTTTTCGTTTGATTTTGGCATTCTACGACATTGGTATCGTTTTTCAATATTTTTTCCCACTTACGGTATAGATTTGCTCATTTTGTTTGAGTTACAGTATGGTTGAAAACCTTTTTTGTAGAAACGGCCGAAAATTCATGCGAGCGCCGATTTCATCCATATAATCCAATCAACATGGCCTAACAATCATCATGAGGAACGCGCCCATGAGCTGTCAAAATAGAACTTATTAATCTGTTAATTTCTCTGTCCTCACTTGGAACTGAAAGTGTATCTGAATCTAAATATGTGTGAATAAACGTGATATGTCATATTCAGGGACATCCGAGCTTTATTTGCCACACTGGAGACTCTCCTGCAGCCGGTAAGTCGGACTCACGGTGCCTACTACATCTACCGTGGAAGAAGCTGACAAAATCGTGTACGGTGCTAAAATACAGACCCAATTGCAACCCGCAAAATGCCACACGAACCGTACCTTGTAAATGTCACAGACATTTTTTTTAAATCACTTCAAATCTCACGGCTCGTTACCTTGATTCGTCCAATCAAAAAATCCTCCCCGACGACTGTTCCGCAAGTCCAATGTACTAAGGTGCACCTAAGCCGCCAAAACTGATCGTTTATCTGTCCTTCTTTCACAATAATGTTATAGAATTCTACCGTGAAACATTGTCGGTAAGTAGGCCTATTGCAACATCTTGTACCTTAAAGAAAAAAAAAGCATGATACCATGCACGTATACCAGTACATTATAAGATTGAAACACAGAAACGTACCTGAGATTTGTGCTGAAAACTGCAGGAGACAGAAGGTAAAGACGCTTGACCTCACGACAGCTCAGTTAGCTTGCCAAGCTATCAGCCGTGTTAAATACCCTAGAGCCATTCCATCAAGGGACATCAAATAGGGGTCACTAGAATATCTTCTTTGGCTATGGGGCACATAGACAATAGACAACTGAAGCCAAGAGTCAACGTCAAGGCATTGCGGTGATCACGAGAATTGTTCAGTAGTGCAGGTTCATGTCGCATAGATAAGTTACCAGTCCTTTTCAAAGTTTTATGATTAGACTCTTCCTTTTTTAAATAGTATAACCCAAGCTTTGATGGTCACCGTACCCCCTGCGTTCATCTTACATCACCGGATTTCCGGATGGAAAGTTGACAGAAACTTTGAAAGAAACTTTCAAATTTCATTTCCTGAATGATTATCATGGATTGAACGTTGAAATATCCGTGTAATATGTAGCTAAAGAAACTTAAAGCTAGCAATTCCTGCATATAGCAACATTGTACGTGTGTGTCCATTGGATAATTTCATGATTCTCAGTTGATCAAGCGTTAAGCCCCTGCCAGACAGCTAGAATCTTCCCGGCCCCGAATACCAGCCAACCAAGGTTCTCGGAAGTTCGGGAGCAGTCTGAGCAGGTTTAGGCCACGCCAATCAACTTATTTCTTCTTCTTGCCTCTTATGCTGAGGTCCCGTTTCCAAACCGATTAACACAAAATCAACAATTTATATCAATAATATACGCAAATAGTTCCCGTTATTAATTTTTAAAACTTTTTTGGTGCTTTCTTGTGTTTTATATCATACTTTCCGTTCCATAAGCTTGCCCGGTCGGGAATGTGACCTCAGCATCACCAGTTGTGATTCCGTTGCTGACCGTATCTGAGTAGATTTGAAAAAAAAAAACTTGTAATTTAATGTTAACCAAAAATTCACAATAAACTACATATGAATTTTATTTTTACTCATAAAAAGAGACGTACTCTCACCACTTGCTACTGTGCGTCAAAATCATGAATGCGACACGCACGTGGGAATATACAGACGGGTATGCATTCTTAATCCGTAGAGGATCTTGTTCTGAATAGGCTGCTAATTGGTGCGGGAGCCTAGTGGTTTCCTGCGGGGAAGAACGGCAGAACACAATACACACAGACAATAAGCCAACAAACCAAAACGAGCTGTTTCATCCACCCACGATGTTTACCCGTATGCACAGTATCGTCCTACGACGTGGGTCTTTTGTCCTTTTCATAAAAAAAAACTAAGTTTAAAAAAGAAGCGCCTTTTCATCAGTTCTATGCACAGATTTCAACTTCCTAACTCAAAAAATGCTGTTGAAACTCTTTCACAGTACCAAATGACAGACGTCGACCAAAAAAGTTAAGTTTCGTACTGCCATCATTTGGCAACGCCGCGAATCTACATATGCTCGTATTGCCAGGGCGTACATTTGAGGAAAGCAGAAAGATAATACATGAAGATTGACACTGACCGAGTTAAGTCACGACCGGCTGTACATAATTTCTCTGGAGAGCCGTTCTTTGATAGAACCAAGGAGCTTTCATCACATGTGATGAAAGCTCCTTGGTCAGACGAGCCCCCATCTTATTGTTATGTGTGGATCTAGGGCGCCTTTGTAGTGGTTGCTGAAAAGATATGAGAATTGAGCAAATTCGAGTGGTTCTTGAGTTACTAGCTGCCTATAATATAATGTTATGTTCACTACATCTCTTGTCGACACATATTCAGAACCCCCCCCCCCCCCGCCTACTAACCAACCAAGATTAGCGGTAGCAGTCTGACGATATTTAGGCCACGCCTACCTTTCGATGCAAATCGAATCTAATTTGAGTTACATTTGAGTCAAATTTTGACCGCCAATCACGCCCCAACCTCTGCTGATCGACCTACTCCCAACCACCAGCCATTCAGTCAATCATGACTTCCTGTCCCGAATGTTTTCAACATCTTGAAACATTTGGCTGGCGATGCCAACCTCGCCGACCACCATCCACAAACGACCTCGCCCCAGACCTCCTCCAGACCTCCAGTCAGTGTACGGGAGGCCATATTAATATTCGGCTGTGTGACTAAAAACGCATATTGCAGTTCTGCTTTTGTCTCACAATTGGTGACAGACAAGTGCAGGTGTATCTATGCTATAGATTTTAACCTTGTTGGTAAACATTGGCTTAATACACTCTATGACCTGCGATGTCGTTGGGGGTAAGTAAATTCATGTATGTGGCGATCTTAGGAGTATCGCTAGGTGTCGTTTTAGTATCACATAGAAACCTGGTATTCTGACTGACTGTTAAGATGACTGTATTGCAACACGAGGGGTGAAAAAGAGTACGGTAAAACTTCAAGGTTATACATCAGATGGAATAGTTTTACAACACGTAATGCTAATATAGATACATTTAAATTTCTCTCTTTTTGTTCTGTCGATATGGAAGGAAGCTAGAATTGCATGTGAAATACACCTCTGTACAAGTGATTTTGAAACCCGCTAGTGTTTTGTGAATCCCACTCCTTGCATGATATTTTCTCTCCAGTGCACAAGTTAGTCACACTTGTAGTTGCAAAGGTGGTAACAAGATGATCATGGCCCCGCCTCAAACGATATTTATGGCATTTACGTTCTCGCAGCTGCCAGGAAACGGAAATGTATCATCACATCATCATCATCATCATTATATCAACCTTACTTCTCTTGCGTTTCTAGTCATTAGAAACTTCGTTTGTGACCCTTAACCCCGTGGAACATCTCTTACGTCAACGTAACCATAGTAACCAGCTATGGCCTATAATTGAAAAGCTTTTATTTACAACCTAATTGCAGTCTGAAAGAAAACTAACTTGATGTTCCTCTTTGCAACTAATTGTGGTCTATTTGGGATATGACCTTGCACCCCCATTTTTTTACACTAAATGACGACAAATAAGCCCTCAAAGTTGTGATGACAGCCGCTATGTTTCATATGTCTCGTTTGGCAACCATCAATTCACATGATGGCTCTTCTATGGTAATTTTGTGAAGACTCGAATGTTATTGTCCCACTGTGACCAATTTAGAGACAAATGAAGTGATGTAAAACTTCACACTAGGCTAGGGGTAGTCTGAGGCCAACATCGCATTCAGCAATCCTTGTTATAGTGTGAATAATTCCTGGATTGACTCTGCTTATTATGTGCCAAACTTACAGTTTTTTTGGAAGGAGGGACGGAGCAGAGGGTGAAAGAGATGTTGATATGTTGTATTTCGTTAAATCTTTGCCTGGTGGACAGGAAGGACATATACGTATATGTAGTTAACACTTGGAGAGGTGAAATTCTGAGCCCATGCTATAGCATTGGCTCATGACACACACACACACACACACACGCAAACACAAACACAAACACACACACACACGCGCACGCACGCACGCACGAACGCACACACACACACACACACACACGCAAAAACAAACATACACACACACACGCACGGACGCACACACACACACAGACACACACACACACACACACACACACACACACACACACACACACACACACACACACACACGCACACGCACACGCACACACACACACACACACACACGCAACTGGGAATAGTTTGAAGTGAGATAGTATACGAGTACAATCGCGGCTTCTATATCTCCCCTAAAAGGCAGATGGACTGTTCCACTCACCACTGAAATGCACGATAATATCTGTAGTGCTGCTGTTACAGATAACCCCTTGGTATTATTTTTCAGGGAGCCAAGTCGGCCAGTATCTTCATCACAAAAGCAACGCCATTTCCTGGGTACGCCTACTCTGTTCAGAGATAGAGACGTTTTACATCGGTTATATAACCTGCTAATGCGTGTTTTAGCTTGCAGCGGTGCAACCCCGAGCAGTTTGAACCCTCATGATCGCATATGTTTGGTACCGACTTCAAACCGGGAACTTTGCCCCGGAATGTCAGCAGTTCAGTCTTGTTACCGGCGTGAAGAAAGATGGAAAACATTCTTCTCAATTTTTACAAAACACAAGCTTGTACAAATAATTGGTTTCCAGTCCAGATGGAAGTTACAGCTCATACAATTGGCCTGCCTGTCATACTTGCATTCCAGTTTGAATGACTTTTCTTTTCATGATAATGAACACGGAAGCCATGATAGGGTTAGAGAAAGATGTATATAAAGGAGTGGAAGTTTATAATACTAACTTTAAATGCTTCACTTCTTTCGGACGAAACTGAATTGAGTTTCCTCAACAGTTAGCGAACAGTCAAGCTTGTGCAGTTTAGATCATCATGCAATTACAATGCATTTTGTGCCCAGCATATACTGGAAAAAGTCCCAGTGTGTTTGGCTATGGCTATGTATGCGAGCCGTATGGTCTTCCCTCCCGACATCTGCTTGGAGAGTTTAGTGCTGGCCTGTCATGTCTATGATGAATGTGGGAACAAGATGTTCCGTACCCTGGGGTGTTCACATGGACGTGTGAGATGACATGGAGCCGGAGGAAATAACTTGGACTTAACCTTGAGGAGTTCCTGTTGACGTTCACCCGATGAGGTCACCTCAGGTCAACCCCAAACACCCACATGCTCCTATGTGGGGCCCTTGACCTAAACACTTGTTCTAGTAAGAGATTAAATAATAAGAAAAGTGTAGCAGTTCTTAGTTCTACGACGGTTAACAACAATATGAAGTTGTTTTCCATCTGTCGTTTTTTACTTGTTGTTCACCCAACTTTTCTCTGTCCTTTCCACAGAATTTTTGTACACCCCCCCCCCCCCGCCTTCCTGATCTGTCCCCGGCAGTCCGTCAGCCGTGGAACATGATGCATTGATTGGTGTCATCTCAACCTTGTCTCTGAATATATTTGAACCCATACTTTCGCTAATCTAGCCTAATGTAATGACAACACTTCATTTCTCTATCTAATTTTCCAAGCGACACATCGACAACCTGTCCTTGTACATGTACAGCTGGGCGCAAATTATATTGGCTATAGATTCCAAGTCGTGTCGGGTTGGTTGGGTCAGAGTAGAG